GCTAACTGACTCCAGTACATTAGACTGCAGTGTGGAAAGTAAAAGGTCATGACCTTCCAGAGGTAAACTGCTCCACCCAAGCCCACTGGGTTTAAGCGCAGCCTGACAGCTCCATGACAGCAACCAGACTAGTGTCTGACTGAACAACTCAGAACCATAACCTAGCCAGACTGACACGTAGAAAGAGCCAGCACAGAACTGTTTACAGAGGAGGGGGGCAGTGTTAAGAGCACCCATGACAGCTGGTGAAGCACTCAGGGAAGCAACAGTGGGAGCTGTCAGCAACCCTGGGCTCAAAGGGGCAAAGGAGAAAGTGTGGGAGAAGAATGCAGCAAGACTATGGTTGTAGGTCAAGGCCACTGGGCCAAACTGACTGGAAGCCTGAGGACAAGGAATGCCATTTTCAGAGGTCAGCCACCCCAGGCACAAATCAGGCTGAGAGAGCAAACTGAGGGGTTGACAGAGAATAACCAGCACATCACTGGTCTCCTGGCTTTCTCCCCAGCCATCACCCAAAGTGGCCAGAAGCAAGGGGACTTCAGGAAGGGCCACCTGCATCTCCTGGTAATGAGACACTATGAGAGCCAAGGACAAAATTAGCATCCCTGGTTCCGCAGCCCTACTCCCCAGTCTACTCCCCGTTTCCCCAGCAGCCAGAGGCAAGTCTGGTCATGTCTCTCCACTGGCGAAAACTCTTCAGGGAGCCCCTTTTGCCTCACCTTAGTAGGACAGTCAAAGCCCTTTGAACATGGCCATTCTTCAGCTTCACTCCCCTTCTGCCCCACCCTAGTCTGACCAAACACTTGGCTCCCCCCTCACTTACTTAGGCCCCTGCTCCCAAGTTCTCTCTCTGGCAGGAAGGCTCCTTGGCCTCCTGATCCTGAATAGTAAGCACCCCATCCCTCTTTCATCTGTGTCTGGCTTAATTTTCCTCACTACCGTCTGATACTATATTTTCTTCTTGTCTCTCTTCCTACCCACTACAATAGGCTTGTTTTAGTAACTACTGCATCCCTAGCCCCTACAGCAGTGCCTGATAAGACTGCAATATGTAACTACTTAATCATTCAAACACTGGGAAGTGTCAGGGTATTTAAAGTCATGAGACTGCATGACATCAGCAAGACAGTGAGCTGGAGATGGAAAAGAGATACAAGGACCAAGCTGTGGGCCCCCCAACATTCAGCCGCTGCTATGAGGAAGAATCAGTCAAGGAAGCAGAAGAGCCTTTGAGATGGCAGGAAACCCAAGAGAGGAAAGTGTCCCAAGAAACAGGGACTGATCATGTCACCTATAAGTGAAGGGAGTTGAGAACTGACCACTGATCATTGAATTTAGCAACATGGTGGTCAGTGACATCCTGGACAATAGAATTTTTAGTAGAGAGGTGGGGCACAAACCTCACTGGAGTGAATTCAAGAGAAAATGGGAGAAGGTAAACTAGAGACAGTGACTGTAGAGAGATAACTCTTCAAGTGTTTCTTTCATAAAGAGTAGCTGAGAAACCTGATAGTACCTGAAGGGAGAATGGTGTTTGAGAATTTTTGGTTTTGTTATGGTCATCTTTTAAATGGGAGCTGTGTCAGTATGTTTGTGTGCAGATAGAGAAGATGGGGAGGGGTAGGAGACCGATGCTAAAGGAGAGAGGGGGAAGAACACTTGGAACAGTGTCCTTCAGTAGGCAAGAGATGCTAAAAGCTGGTGCTCACCAGGAGGAAGTGCCCTTAGCCAGTTTGGGTGTTTACCCAAAGTCACTGGAGAGAGTGTCTGAGCAAGATGCAGGTAGGAGGAAAGAAGTGGTGGTGGGAGCCTAAGGAAGTTCTCTTGTGTTTGCTGAAGGTAAGGGTGTGGAGAGGTCGGAGGTTTGAGGAAAGAGGAGAGGGTATGAAATAGCCTGTCTGAGAGGGTAGGACAGTGAGTGATGTAGGAGTGTGGTAGACTGAATAATGCCCCCCCAAAAGATGTCAACATCAGAATCTCCAGAACCTGTGCACATGTTACTTACACAGTGTTGTGGATTTCATTGTGTCCCCCAAAAAATGTGTTGTAAATCCAACTACACCTGTGGTTATAATCCCATTTGGAAATGGGTTTTCCTTGTTATGTTAATCAGGCAGTATTAGTACTGGGTTGTGTCTTAAGTCAACCTCTTTGGAGCTATAAAGAGCAGATCAGGCAAGCAGCAAAAAAGTAAGTACAATAGATGCCACATCACATGAGATCTCCAAGGAACCAAGAAAGTGAAATTGAAGAGACAAGGACCTCCCCCGAGAGCCAACAAAGACAGAAAGTCTTCCCCTAGAACTGGTGCTCTGAATGTGGATTTCTAGCCTCCTCAGCTGAGAGAATAAAGTTCTGTTTGTTGAAGCCAACCACTTGTGGAATTTCTATTAGAGTTGTTGTTGTTGTTATATGCCATCGAGTTGGCCCCAACTCATAGTCGGGCCCTCCTTGGGTTGCCGAGGCAGTATCACTATGGAAGTAGATTGCCCAGTCTTCCTTCTAAGGAGTGGCTGGTGGGTTTGGACTGCCAGCCTTCTGGTTAGTAGTCAAGTGCCTTAGGCACTATGCTACCAGAGCTCCTTTCTATTAGAGTAGCAGTAGATAACTAAGGGGAGTTCTGGTGGCATAGTGCCTAAGGCATTTGACTGCTAACCAGAAGGCTGGAAGTCCAAACCCACCAGCCACTCCTCAGAAGGAAGGCTGGGCAATCTACTTTCGTAGTGATACCACCTCAGAAACCCAAGGAGGGGTCACTATGAGTTGGATCCTACTCCACGGCAGTGCGTTGCATTGTGTTGCATTAGATAACTAAGACACACAGTAAAGGGACTTTGCAAATGTAAGTAAATTAAGAATATTGAGATGAAGACTTTATCCTGGAACACACAAGGGGTCACCATGAGTTGGAATCAATTCAATGGCAATGGATTATCCAGGTGGGCCCAGTGTAATCAAGGGAGGTTTAAAAATACAGAAGATGCTACAATGCTGGCTTTCAAGATGGAGGAAGGGGCCATGAGCCAAGGAATGTGGGCAACCTCCAGAAGCTGGAGAAATACCATCATATATCCTGACACCTTCCAATACCTGAATGAAAAAGTCTTTATTACCACTTACTTCAGATTCTCCCCTAAATTCTCTGGAAGGAATACAGCCTAACCAGAGAATAGGTTGGAGGTCACCTTCAGAACTCTTCTCTGACCCCTGGGATCCAGCTGGGTGATTCTGGCATGAGACTGCCATCTCAATGTCCACAGGCCTAAAGGCGTAGCTGGGCTCTCAGAGAGGGCAGTTGTCCAGGGGGGTGCCTCTCATGGCCCAGTCACAACACAGGTCATCAGATTCCAATACCCACATCCGATATTTCCTCCCTTCATACCTTCTTGGCAGCAGACAGGCAAGACCACAGATAAACCACATTCCAGACCTATAGCCAGAGGGCCAGGGCTCAATGTATTAAACAAACGAAAGGTTTATTTACAAGCAGGAATACTATTTAGTATACAGGACAACTCTCTTTGTCTTGGGATCAACACAAGCAAGGGAACTGAGGCCACACCCAAGAAGTCTCCTCTCAATTCATCCACTTTCTTGGCGATGGTAGTGAGGTGTGTGGTCCTCCCAGGTTTGTCCACCAGGGGGCAGATGTGCTCCACTGCCATGCAGTGTCCAACTTGGGCAGAGACCCTAGCCAGTCCAGGTAGTCTGCCGTCTTGATTCCAGCATGGGAAATCCTGCTTTTCTCTGTGGTAATGGATAGTTCAGGGGTCAAGTTCAAGTCCGGTGGAATTTATAAGCGAGGAATTCAAGTACCTGGGATCAAGCCAGCCTCTCAAGGCTCCTCATACCCCTTCCTTCTAGAATCTGGTCTAGTTCACATGTCTATCCTCTACAGGGCTCTGGGCATGAGTTTGGGGTAAAATAGTTGACTCTCTAATGGGGACAAAATCCTTTGGCAAAATTACTGGCTTTAGCTGCTTCTAAGTGGGCTATCTAACCCGACAACATTGGCTACACAAACACACAACATAGATACAGACACACAGACACAAGATGGCTCTCAGTATCTCATATCCACTCAGAATCATAGTAGGTATAATACCAAAATGGCTCTGCAGCTCCCCTGGGGCCTAGGGCTCCAGGAACAAGGGGAAGGACTAAGGGGACAGAGGAGTACCCCCCAAGAGGGAAGGAAGGTCCAGGCTGAGGTAGGAGGAAAGAGATGCCTGTGGGAGCCTCAGACATCTGCAGTTCCAGAAATTCCCTGATAGGTGAAGGTATCTCTTCACACCAGACACTGAGGGAGTGGGGAGAGGCCCACTCCCCACATAGAACCTGTGGAGGGAGGAGGGGGCTGGAGCTGTGGTTAACTGGAGTGAAGGTCAAAGGGAGAGGATGTAACAGTGGAGGAGGGGATATATGCAACCTCAGAGTTTTGCTTACTTTTGTCTGCCTGCAGGGTGCTTAATTTTTTAAAACATTGTCACATGTTAAAATAGAAAGCTTTCCAGTTAAGAGTCTGCTATCAACCTCACTGAGGTTGCCTGCCTGGGGCCTCTGGGTACCTGATTTTCACGCTGTGGTACAAGTGGATAAGTTAGCAGAAGGTGTTTTCTGTTGGTTAAAAAACAAACAAAACAAAACAAAAAAACACCAAGGCCTCCAGAACCCAGGCTGGCAGGTCTAGTTGGGTAAGCTCACAGATAGACAGGATTCAGCCCAGGCTGCCCAGCAAGTCCAGGGTCAGCTCTCCCACTGTCCAGCCAGCTTTCTGAGAAGGACATACCAAGGCAGAAGGAGTCTCCACAACTCTTCCCCGCCTCATCCCCTGCCTGCAGGAGAGAGAGAGGCAGAGGCTGTGGAAACCACTGAAGGACATGGCCCAAAGAGAGCCACAGAGCCCTGGGAGTTGGGGCCTAGAGGGACCAGGAGTCTCTTCGCAGGGCTGCCTGCCAAGGGTTAATGTCCACAGCTGTGACACAGGCCCTACCAGCTGGTTAACAGGTCTTCATCCCGACATCCGGCACGCCCAGAGGCAGGGGCTTCTCCTCAGAGCTCTGCTGCAGTGTCTCTAGTGTCCCTAGATGGGACTGGAAGGGGCGCTCTTCCTTGGAGAGGGGAACCTGCTCACTCTTTGGGGAGCCCGAGGGGCTGGCGTCCATGTTCCCCGTCATGGAGCTGGCCTGGGAGGGGCACTGGGAGCCGTGGTCGGAGCTGCTGCAGACATTTACGATGCAAGTGACGTTGACCTGGGTCCCACAGCTGCCGGGGGCAGGGTCTGCTAAGCACAAGATAGGGGAGGGGTGTCAGTACAGGGGGCCTCAGAGCAGGAGGGGGTTGGTGTTCATAGCCTATCTCCTGCCAAAGAGTGGGGAGGGGGCACTGGACCAGGAAGAGGACAGGGTTCTAACCCAGCTCTGCTGTATGACCTTTGTGTGCCTCAGTTTCCTTATCTGTCAAATAAGAACAGCATCACCACTTACCCAGTCTAACACATCACAGGGAAGGAAGGCCAGTTAGATAAGGCAGGTGCAAGTGCTCCAAGAACAAAACACATTTCCCACAAAGGGTCAGAGACACGAATGAAGTCAATGAAGATGAGTTACAGTGAAGATGAAAGAACTGCTGGAAGGTATCAGTGATTCTGACCACATCACCAGACCCCTCTGCCATCGGCACGGGATCTGCCTGCCAATGAGTCAGCATCAGGGAGCCCGGAAATTGTTCCTTTATAGAGATTAAACATTGACCCTGAACTTTTCATCTGCAGCAAATTATTTTCCTCCATGTAAAGCTGCCTTTTAAGATTTCAGAAATCTGGTATCTGGGATAGGGTGGGCCAATAGTTTGTCCTCCTCACTGAGGTCAGGATGGCGTGAAGCCTTATGGTCCTGGGTTTGAATGCTTGACCTCCCTCCATATTCTTGGGCAAGTCACTTAACTTCTCAGAGCTCAGTTTGCTCAGCTGTAAAATGGGTGTAATGATTCTACACAACTCCAGGCAGGAGTGAGCCTGTTGTGTGTTCACAGTTATACCTCCAATGCCTCCCTGGATCCTGGAGATGGAGCAACCCTCTCAGTGAACCAGGGGGTGAAAACTGCTCCACATCTCCACTTGCATGCTTACAGGCACCTCAAACTTAACTCCACCCCCACCTCCCATCCAGCCTGCTCCTCCCCATCTTGGTTCTCAGTGCCACCATACTCCCAGCTGCTCAGGCCCAAGCCTTGGACCCATCTTGATTCTCTCTCTTCCTCCCATACCCATATCCTGTCTGCGTTACCTTCAAAAGATACTTTAAGCTCACTGCCTTCCCTACTATCATCCCATGAAAGCCTCCAACCGCGTTCACCTGTCTCCCTGCTCCTACCCACCCTCTATGGTTTGTTCTTCACCAATAGCCAGACCCAGCCCTTCAAAACCCAACAGATCAACCTCCTTGGATGCTCAAAACATCATGGTTCTCATCAGGGCCTTCAAGGCCCTGCATATCTGGGCCTGCCTTCTCCAGCCTCCCCCTTTCTACCACTCTGGGATCCTGGTTGCCTCCTTTATGGCCACACTCACCTCCCTGTAGCTCCTACAGCTCTCTGAGCCTCAGGGCCTTTGCATATGCTGTTCCCTCAGCCTGGAGAGCTTTTCCCATTCACATAGCTCACTATCACTCCGGCCTCAGCTAAAAGTCACTTCCTCCAGGAAGCCTACCCAGATTTCCCTCTCTGAAGACACCTGCCATCTCATCTGCCACTCCCTATTCTCTGACCTCCAGGGCCCAGAACCAATCTTCTCAGTCACTTGTTTGCACTTGTCTCTCCCACCAGACCCTGGGCCCAGGAAGGCAGGGACTTTTTGACTATTCCCTGCTGTATCCCTAGTGCCTAGAACAGGGATACATGTTGAATGAACAAAACTCAGTCTACAGGTGTGTTCCTGGTGGTGGTAGTGTTTGGCTATCAACATGTAGGATTTAGGAGTTTACGTTTTAACCATCAGTATTTCTGGCTTTCCCTGGGAGCCAGGTGTGGGAAAACTGGTGCCACAGGGCCCTCATTCCTGAGTGGCAGCAGAGAGAGAAAGGACTCCAGGACACAGGTCTCCCCCCTCCCCATGTAAGTGTCCCATCCAGCACCAGTAGGCACCTGCATTTCCTAACTAGCTGGTGAGGGATTGAACAATGAAGTAAAATGGGGAGAAGAAAGGCAGGTGCTGGACACACCATCGCTCATCAAAAGGTTAAGAGTTGCTGCTGCTGCTCCAGGGACCTGCTGAATGCCTGAAAACACATGGTCCCAAGGTACATGGGCAGGGCTGGTCCTTTGGTGCCCCCTACTCCAGGAACTTGGAGGAGCCTGCGAGGAGGCCCAGAGTTGGTGAGCTGCTCTGCTCAGAAAAGCCTCAAACAGACTGGGAGTGTGGGAGAGCTGAAATCATACAGCCAGGAGGCCATTTCCACCCTAAACCTCCACAGCACCCAAATGTCACCCAGAGTCACCATGGCCTTTGCACACAGTGAATGAGAGTGCGGGGGCAGGTTGGGAGCATAGCTCTGGGGTTTACAGGTTCCCACAGTGGAGAAAGGGGAAGGCAGGAGCAGGGAGGAGAGAGACAATGCACAGACTATCTATCTGGGGAATTCTTGGGAGAAAGAACAGAAAGCAGGAAGGGCAGAGGGTAGAGGGGATGGGCAGACATGGGCAGAGAAGCCACACCTGGATGGCTGTACAACAGGTGGGGCTAAGAATCAGCGAGGCAAATCCAAAGGTTTGGACAAACACTAAGAGTTGAGATTTGGAGCTCATTCAGTCAGTCAACAAACATTTCAGGCCCCTGCTCTGTTCCAGCCCTGACCCAGGCCCTCCCTTGATGAATTCTCAAGCTTCAGGGGCTGCAGGTGGGGAGGGGGCACTGACAAGACATCACATTGATGAGACATCACCATGATGGAAAAATCAGAGCAGGGCACCTGAGCCCATGTGGGCAGTCAGAGGAGGTGGCCCTGAGTCAGGTGACAGGAACGAAAGGATGTTATGGGCTAGGGAACAACATGTGTGCAGGCAGAGAAGCAAGGGGATGCAGCATGTCAGGAGAGCAGCAGAGGATGGTGTGCTGGAGTAGGGCCTGAGAGTGGGGTGTAGTTGGAGCCAGCAGTCCCTTCCTGGAGGTGGCCCAGTGAGCTGGCGACACCTGTCATACTGTTGCTCATTACTCACCAGCCCCACCGAGAGGTCCCCCTGCTCTCAAGAGGAGGAAACAGGCTTATCAGGGTTACAGAGCCTGCTCAGATTCACATGGCACCCAAGTCCACCATCATGCCCTGACCTGCACCTCCAGGTGAAGGGAGAGGTGCAGGCCAGCACTCAGGCCCATCAATAGCCTCGGCCTCTGTACTGCAGAACAAACCTGAGGAAGCTCCAAGGTTCCTAGGGGACCAGAGCCAAGTACTGAATATAGCATATACTACCAGAAGAATGAACAAATCTGTCTTGGAAGAAATGCAGCCTGACTGCTCCTGAGAAACGAGAACAGCCAGACCCCACCAGGGACCTGTGTGGGTACCACTAATTGCAGCCTAGGAGTGTCATCTGTCATAGACCAGGTCTGGGACACAAATGCAAACTGTACAGACAGTGCATGGGCGCTTTACTTCTCCAGAGCCCACACAGGCCCCACAATCCTCTAAAGGGACCAAGCAACAGCCACAGATGGGGAGCCTGGAGGTATCATTAATCATCCATATTCCAGCCCCTGGCTCTTCCATTGTGTGTGTGCCTTTACACAAGTTGCTTAACCTCTCTGGGCCTCAATTTCCTCCTCTGTAAAACAGGGATAATCATAGTAGCTACTCCTTAGCATTGATATGCAGATTTAGTTCATGCATATAAAGTGCCCAGAATAGTGCCTGACATACGGCCAGCACGCAGTAATCAGAAGCTGTTATTACTGCTGCTGTTGTCATCAGCCAGGCAGAGTGCTGGGACAAATGAGATGGGCCGGGCTGACCAGCAGAGCCACAGCCTGGACAGCGTGAAAGGAGCAAACAACAGCTAGACTGTGTGTCAGTCCTGGGAAAGGGAAGCAGGGGCTCGGTGAGCAAATCTGGCCCAGGCCAGGGGGCCCGAGGGGAGAGGGTTTCAGGAAAATTCCCTGCTTGGATACTGAGGATACTGAGGACACAAAGGACAAGTTGGGCTTGCCCAGGTGCAGGGGGGTAGGGGAAGGAGAAGGAAGAGTGCTCCAGGTGAAAGGATCAGCATGGGCAGAGGTGGGGGGGAATGTGGTGGTTTCAGAGAACTCAAGAAGTCCAGTGTGGCTGGGTGCTGAACCTGAGTAGGGAGTAGGAAGATGAGGCTGGAAAGCAAAGCCAAGGCCAAGTAGTACCCCACTAAGAGCTCAGACCTTGCCCTGAAGCAGTGACCAAAAAACCCACTTACTGCCCATTGAGTCGATTCTGACTCAACCCCCATTGGGTTTCCAAGGCTGTAAATCTTTACAGAAGTAGATTGCCCCATCTTCCTTCTGCTGAACAGCCGGTGGGTTTGAACCTCTGACCTTCTGGTTAGCAGCCAAATGCCTTATCCACTACACCAGGGACCCAGGAGACCAAAATCAGGAGAAAAATATGGGGACAGGGGTGCAGTGAGATGGGGCTGAAGCCAGGGATGCTCTGCCTCTTACCTGAGGTCACGCAGCTGGCCCGGGCCTCGCCGGCACCACTGGCCTTCCCCACACCTGATGCCTGGGGCTGGTTCCTAGGGGGCACCCTCCTGTCCGTGGCACTGACCGAGCTCTCCAGGGAGCTGCTGCTGGAGCTGGGCGCCGTGGTCAGCAGGTGCTGCTGCTCAGGGCCTGGAATACCCCGGGCCTTATCAGCTGGCAGGTGAGGCTGGATGAGAAGGAGAGGGGGCAGGCGGTCAGCTCCGGCAGCTGACTCCTCCTCCCTCCTCCTCCTCCTCCTCACTACCATCTGCACTCCTTGCTGTCAGCACTTCACAATTTACATGGCACTTCTGCCCACACCTGCTCGTTCTTTCCACATGCAGCACTTATCACAAGGTGAGATTCTCTGTGGGTTTTGTGTTTTTGTGATTAGTGAGTGGTTTCCCCACTAGAGTGTGAGTCCATAGGGCAGAGGTTACGTGGCACTGCTCACCAAATAGCCTTGGGAGGGCAGGATTTGTACCCCATTTGGTGTAAGAAAACAGAGGTCCAGAGAAGTGACTTTCCAAAGGGCAGTCCATCAGCACAGGGAGATATACTATCGTTCAGCAATGAAGCACACAGACTCTGGAGCCAGACCACATGTACAAATCCTGACTCCACCACTCACAGCTGTGTGACCTTGGACAAGTAACTTAACCTCTCTGTCTCTGTTTATTTAATCTAAAAAAACAGTTGCCATTGAGTCAACTCTGCCTCATGGTGACCCCACACGTGTCAGAGTACAACTGTGCTCCATAAGGTTTTCAATGGCCGATTTTTAGAAGCAGATCACCAAGCCTTTCTTAAGAAGCTTCTCTCAGTGGACTCAAACCTCTAACCTTTCAGTTGGCAGCTGAGGGTGTTAACCATTTATACTACCCAGGCATGTTGAGTCATCACAACAGTGACTATCTGGCCCCTGCTGTTGTTATTGTTGGGCACCATGGAGTCAATTCTGACTTCTAGCAACCCTGCAGGACACAGGAGAACTGCCCACAGCACTCCCTAGGCTGCATCGATGGCCTCAAGCACAGCAAGGATTGGGAGGATGGCCCAGGACAGGGCAGTGTTTCCTTCTGTTGAACACAGGGTTGCTATGAGTCAGAATCAACTCAACAGTACCTAACAACAACAAACTATAGTCTTTACAGGAGCAGACTGACAGTCTTTTCTCTTGCAGAGTCTCTGGAGGGTTTGAATCATCGACCTCTGGGTTAACAGCCAAGCACTTAACCACTGCACTGGCAGGGCTCCTTTATCTGGGCCATAAAGACAGAAATATTTACTCTCTGGTCCTTTACAGAAAACATTTGCTGATCCCTATGTGCAATCAATCAATCCAGTACAGGAGCCCCTTCCTTTAGGACCTCGGCCTCTGCTCGCCTTTCCAGACTCCAATCCCCAGCCTGCTTTGGGACACCCTCTAATGTCTTTTTCTCATTGGAGAACGTAAGTAATAATAAAATATGAGCTGGCATTTGGGTGTCATCCAGTGCCCAGTGTGCCAAAGTCCTTCAGACACTATCTTTGCATTACAGATGTGGAAGCCAAGGCACAGAAAGGTTGAATTACTTGCCAAAGGTCACACAGGGTGGATGCAGCTAGACTAAAAGCCATGAGGCTTGTCCTGGGTCTGAGGTTTCCCATAGGGTTTCCAAGGCTGTAATCTTTATAGAAACAACTGCCTCATCCTTCTCCTGCAGAGTGGCTGATGGGTTCAAGTGGCAGTGCACCACCAGGGCTCCTCCTCATAGAGGGAGCTACTTTTCCAGATGTGCACTGAGCAGCTGCCAGGTGTACCGTGACCCCACCCTGGACCGCTGGCTCCTCTCTAGCCAATCACCCAGCCCTGGCCAACCCCAACCCCACCCACCATTGCTGTGGCCTCTCAAACATCCGAGCCAGCCTACACCTCTGAATCTAAGCCAGAAGGATCCTTTGCATACCCTCCCCATGAAGCCAGCAAGGCCCAGAGAGGATGGGTCCCATGCTGAGCACCACACAGCTGGTCAGTGGCCAGGGTACGACCAAGCCCAGAGCTGCCTGCTTCCTGCATCATCATCTGGCTTCCCTAAAAGGCAGCTGGGTGTGCCACTCCCAGCTTTGGATAGATGGGAGGCATTCTAAGTTCATGCTGTACTTGTGGCCCAGAGGGCCTATCTCAGCCACTGGGACCCACCCCCAGGCCTGCTCTGAGCAAGAACAGGCAGGGGGAGGAAAGCATCCAAATGTCACTCCTAGAAAGGGGCTTTTCTGATCTGTGTCCCACCCCTTCTGTTGGCAGCTCAAGCTAAGCAGAAAAGAAACCACCAAAGGTCACAGCTGCCTCCCTCCCCAAAGCCACAAGCTGCAAAGTTCAGTCAGTCTCTGAAGGAGGACCCAGGCTTCTGAGGCATACCCACCTATGGTGTGAGGGTATATGAAATATGCATACATGTGTGTCTACATGTGGGGGCACATGGGCATGTCTGTGAGTGACAGAGTTAGTGTGCCTGCAGAGGGTGATAGAGAGAGGCACTCCCAAGGCTTGGGTCCTGGGTCCCTCTCACTAGCTGTGCGACCTCAGCAAAGTTACTTAACATCTCTAAGTCCAAGTTTCCTGAGCTGTAAAACTGGGGTAACAATCACACTACCTGCATGGTGGCTGTGAAGATAAAGGTACATAAAACAGCTCAGCACAATGCCTGGCATACAGTCAGTGCCTCATAAATGTTGGCTCTCATTATTAAATATGAGCCCGTGCACTAGTATATCTGTGGGATGATTGTGCATGACTCCACACATGTAGACACATTGGCCTTTTCTGAACAGAAAAGGGGTCACTGTCCCACCATGCCCTGGGAGTTATTTCTGCAGCAGGAGGGACACACACCCTTCAGTAGGTGAGTCACCCCCCCTCAATTCCAGCTGGCCTCTTAGCAGGGACTTACTGCGAGCCAGCTGAGCTGCAGGGTAGCGCAACCAACCCCTGAGAACAGCTCTGGGCAGCTTTGCACATCTCTCCAGGGAAGTGGGTAAAAGCAAAGCCTGCAGATTCGGACTGGTTTTCTAAACCAGGCTGTGCCACTTACCTAGTGGTCTAACCTCATGAGTGGCTAAACCTCCCTGAGTCTCCATGTCCTCATCTGTGAAATGGGTATGACAATACCTCACAGGGGTATGTGGGGATCCCATGGTGGCACAGCCACTTCCAGCAAAGTCTTATGGGTAGCCTGAGCTTGGCCACGGTGGGAGTAATTACACCATGGAAATTGGCAAACACCACCAGTCAGGGTTTTCCCCTGGAGAGCTGACTACCAGCACACGGCTGGACTCTGCACACAGCAAACAGAAGCTGAGCTGTTCACACTCAATGAAGGCAAAGCCCAAACAAGGGAAAGAGGAAGTGGAAGCTCTTGGGCCACCCCCGGGATGCCTTCAAGGCACCAAGTTTTGGGAAACCCTGGGTTGGGAAAGAGAACACGGCAGTGGGCTACCAGGGAGGAGCTTGAAGGTGCAGCTGTGGGCAGAACGGAGGCCAGAAAAGGGAGATTTGCATCCTGGAGAAGAGAGCAATGGTTTGACTCACAAAACCAATGTTTATATCCACAGAAATACTCTAGGACAGAGCAAAAAGCACTTGGCCTGGAGTCCAGAGGCAACTCTGAGACCTTAGGAAAGTCACCTTCCTTCTCTGTATCTCTTTGTCAACAAAAGCAGGAGATAAAAGCAAACTATGGTCTCTACCAGGTCCACCTCGTGGCAAGCCCTGGGTGAATCTCAGGCCCTGTCTCTCGAGGGCTGAGCTTTTCCCTAGCCCAGTGATTCTCAAGCAGGGGCTATTTTGCCTCCCAGGGGACACTTGGCAATGTCTGCAGATGTTTCTGGTTGTCACTGCAGTCATCTAGTACACAGAGGCTAGGGCGGCTGCTGAACATCCCACGGTGAATACACAGGACAGCTGTCCCCATGAAAGAACTGCACAGCCCAAACCAGCAGTGGAGCCGGCCTGAAACACCCTGCCCGAGTAGAACAAGCAACACAAAGGAAGCTTCTCAGACACGGCTTCCTCATCTGTAAAACCGTTAAAAAAAACAACAACAACCTGCCCTGCCGACCAGGCTTGGGGCTGTGGCAGGTGCTGTGTACTGGCTCCCCTCAACACCCATTCCCAGCCCCTGTAACTCATCTTTCTCCATCCTAAAACCAAACCAATTGCCAGGGAGTTGACTCTGACTCATGGTGGCCCCAAGTGTGTCAGAGTAAACTGTGCTCCACAGAGTTTTCAATGGTGGATTTTTCAGACATACATCACCAACTCTTTCTTCTAAAGTGCCTCAAACTTCCAAAGGAGCACCTTAACCATGTGTACCTCCCCCAGACTCCCTCTTCCACCACAGAGGCCGGGAAAGCAAATCACTCACTCTGCTAGCCTCCTTTGCAGCTAGGATGGTCACGTGACACAATGAGATGGCAGCAGAAGTCTACCTAGGGCTCTGGGAGAGTGTCTGATTTACTGATAACAGTCACCCTGGCTGGCCTAGCCATTTCCTCCTCTTCTTCCCACTCTGAATCAAGAGGTCGCATATGAAGCAGTGGTCATTATCTTATGACACAAAGCCACAAGCAAGAAGACAAAAGCCAGCACACCAAGGTGGGAGAGCCAGAGGTCCTGCTGCATCATAAAAAGGTGCAGATGAACTCACGCAGGCAGCTGGCAGCACCTGGATTTTTTTTTTTTATATGAGAAAAATAGAACTCTTTTGTTGCAAGTCACCCATAGGCTTTATGTTACTTGCAGCCTTTCTGGTGGAGAATTCATGAAATATAACATCGGCATTCTGTTTCTAACAAAAATCTTCCTCAGATGCTATTATATAAACACATCAAAGATGGGCTGCTTTGACTGAAATGGGGGAGAACTTGGGATTCAGTCCCCTAACCTCCACCTCAACCATATGGTTAACCCTCCAGGACTCTTCCATGGAACACCAGGGTACCCTGGAACTCAGTTTGAAAATCACTGCTCCATAAAAAGTGCTTTGTCAATTCACTGGGGATGCTGATTATCGTTGTCAGCTGAGTACATGGCACAGTGAGGTAGCTGGGCCAAGAGGACACTGCCGTAAGCTGCTGTGGAGTTGGCCTCCAACTCATGGCAACCCCATGCACAAAAGAACGAAACACTGCCCAGTCCTGAGTCATTCCATCATCAGTTGTGGATTGGACCACTGTGATCCATAGGATATTCACTGGCTGATTTTCAAAAGGAGATGACCAGGCCTTTTTTCCTACTCCCTTTTAGTCTGAAAGCTCCACTGAAACCTGTTCAGCATCAAAGCATCATGCAGGCCTCACTGACAGACGGGTGGTCACTACACGTGAGGGGCATTGGCCAAGACTCAACTCCAGGTCTCTGCGTGGAAGGCAAAAATTGTACCTCTGGACCGCCACTGTCTGAGAAGACACTGCTCCTGGCGACCCCTTGTGTCTCAGAGTAGCACTGAGCACCAGAGGGTTGTCAGTGGTTGAGTTTTCAGAAGTAGACTGCTAGACCTTTCTCCTGTGGCATCTCTGAGGGGACTCAAACTTCCAGCCTCTCAGTTAGCAGCTGAGCGTGTTACCATTTGCACCACCCAGGGACTGAGCAGACACCAACCCCACGTAATGGTGAGGAGACAGAGCCACCCAGCAATCTCATGTCTGTCCAAGGTTATGTTGCAGGTCTATGGCCACATGCTGGCCACTGTCACTACTACCTCCCCTACTTCTTGACATGGCATTTGCATTTCATGTTCACGATCTCTTTGTCCCATAAAAGGCAGCCCCTATCCCCAAGGGCAGATCCTGGCTGGTCATTCCTCAGCCTCCCCAGGGCTCTGCACACAGCCTGACATGGCCACACCAACCTACTGAATTCACCACATCCCATGGAACACCGCAGCCCACCCTAAGGGCACCATGGAGGGGAAGGCAGAGGGACACTCACCACCTTGGCTTCTCCATGCAAGCAGGAGGGCTTCTCTGCAAAGAGATGGGGCAAGTCAGGGACAGCAGCTTCCTCGGGGACTAGCTGTTCTAACTAGTAGGGCCACATGGGGCCTGAGAAAAACCATCGGAATGGGTCCACCAAGGGGGCGGGCAATTTCCTACCAAACAATGTGAGCCATCACCTACCTCTCAAGCTGGGCCACCACTGTTCCCCTCCCCTCCCCCGCCCCTGCCACGCTCCCACTCCCCATCTTTGCTCCCTCCATACCCTCTACTCAGGATGCTCTTTCTTCCCTGCACACTGTCTGACGTCTAAATCATGCCCAGCTCCGTGATGCCTGCCCCAGGAAGCCCTGGACAATAATCCTGAACTCCCACAGACAGCCCTGGTCTCATCTCGCCTTTTGGTAGGAACTTTGTGGGAATGTCCCCACCCCCAGGCTGTATGCCTCTACAGAACAGTGACTGTGGTGTCCAACCCTGTCTGACTCATGGGCAGTGCCCAGTGCAGACTCACAGGAGGCACCCTGACACACTTACTGAATAAAGGGGTGAATGGGCACACACAAGACGGCAGGGACAGTATCTTACTTTTCCTCTGGGTCATGATGAGGCAGTTCACCAGCACTATTATGAGCAGACCCAAGGCTGTCACGCCCACAATCAGCCCTAGAAAATAAAGAACAAACTCAGATGTTCCCAAGGGCCAGGCAAGTCAGAAGCCAGGCAGATAAGTCAATGGCCATGACCCACATGGTGTTGTGGGGAGGGGCAAGCCCAATCTAGAGGCTCTTAAACTCAATTACAAAACAAATACACAAAATGCTGTGTCCCAAACAAAACATGTCTATGAGCCAGATCCAGCCGAGGGCCACCAGTTTGAGACCTCTGGACTGTTGTGACCCTAAACCAAAAAGGTAAGCCTGAAAGTGACCTGGCCCAGTCCTCTGTCATCGCAAATGTTGACCCATGGCCCATAGACAGAGTCCCATCTCCACTGGGGATTCCTAGTAAGCACCAGGTCTGGGGAGAGGACCAGTCTTGCTGTCTCCAGTATCCTAGGACAGAGCACAAGATCCAACCCACAGCAGGCTCTCACTGAGACCATGTGAATGTATGAATGAACTGTGACTTACCAATTGGAAGAGTGATGTTGCCTGTGCTGAGCCCCTCAGCTGGGGGGCTTGGGCCCAATGGGAAAAAAGGGGAGGTGCTCGGAGCTGTGTTGGGTCCTGGAATGGGCTCCATGTGCTGGGATCTTGTAGACCCTTCTGTCAGGCCCATGCGAGGGGTACCCGGAGCTGTGTCGGGTCCTCGAGTGGGATCCATCTGCTGGCGCGTTGGGGCTGGCCCCAAGCTCACTGTCAGGGCAGGGGCCAGAGATCCACAGACTGTGTCCATGCTTGCGTTGCCAGGGATGGCCACAGAACTACAGCTGGGGGAGGAGGAGGCTTAGTCAGGAGGCAACAGAGGACAGAGTGACCAAGGTAGCTGGGCCATTCATGGGAGCCAGACCAGTGGGCCAGGGTCCCAGTGACAGGATGGAAAGTGAGTGTATGTGCCACACTCTCTCTCAGTACAGTCCTCTCCTGTCCCTCTCTCACAGCTCCTCAGGCACCCCACCTGGTCTTGACCTTCCCTTGGGTCCCACCCTCAGATCCAACAAGACAAGGAAGGCATAGGTGGGTAGCAGACAGAGCTCAGCAGTGCCTCAACCTGAGGAAGTGAATGGGGGATTTCAGGTACTGTGGTGTGGCTGCTCTGTGGCCGAGACCCCACAGGCCCCAGGGACATCCCTCCACACCCCTCCAGTAGCAAAGATTCAGCTGCTCACGTTCGATGGGGCTTGCACGTGTCAGTGGATGAAGCTGTGTTGGAGAATGTTCCTGGGGCACAGGGAGCACACATCACGTTCGAGGTTGCAGTTCCTTCAGGAGAAAAGTTATGACCTGTAACCAACTGAACTTCATGGGGTAGGTGGGCTTTGGCACTGCAGTCCTAGGGAAGGCCCAAGGGGCCAAGGACCTCTGTCTCCACCTTGACCTCTCAACACTTACACACATGCATAAACCTATCATATACTCATGCACAAGGCTGGGTGGAATTTGTCCTTTAACCAATTCTGGTGACTTCCTAGACTCCAAGATCACATGGGTCCCACTTCCCATGGTATCCCCTGACTTTCTAGTAGCTTAGGGCTCAGTCTGATCCACCTCTGGATCCCCAGGGCCCACCACACAGTAGATGCCTAACCAGGAGTGCTAGGGGAAGAATGAATCAATAGTGAGCACTTGGCCACTCGATGACACTCCCAGGCTAGGCTCATTGGTGGGTACCTGCGACTTTGCAGGGATGTCATGAAGGGGGTCCCCAAAGGCTGCTGTCCCTGTCCCTGTCCCATACCTGGCTTAGCCACTCCAAAGCCGGGCGGGCACTTGCGCAGTGGCACACACAGCCGGCACCCCTCCTGCCTCTTCAGCAGGCAGAACCAGCCCAGCCTGCAGGCACAGATGCGGTTCTGTTTCCGAGTGCAGGCTTGAACTTCCACTTGGTCTGGAGGAGCGAGAGGGCAGCCCAGGTCACTTCTGTAGCCACTGCACTGCCCACTGTGATGCCCACTTTGCCCTCCCAACCAGCCTGGGACTCCAGACAGCTCTGATCTCCAGGAGGTATGGGGACAGCCTTCAGCAAGTGGCCACAGAGTCCCAAGGCCTGCTGTCTTTTCCCAGCTCCACCACGGCATGAGCAAACCACACCTACTCTCTGAGGCACAATGTTTCCAACTCTAAAATGAGCTTAGCTCCCCTCCCCTGGCCCTACCTGCCTGCCCCATGGAGTTTTAAGAAAATTTAGTGAAACAGAGGATAAAAATGCCATTGGTAAATGGTAAAGAGCAGTGGCTGTTGAAGAATCAACGCTGGGGCATGGAGACCACTGGTTTGGGGTAGCTCCAGCCAGTCTCAGATGAGGGGCTGGAGTATCTGGTGATCAGGGGAGAATGCTGGGGACCACCCCTCTCTCTGGGACCCACTTACCAGAGCTGCTGCAAGAGTCACAGCTCAAGCACTCTAAGACCCAGTTCAAGAGCTCAGTGTATGTGTTGTCCTCGCAGGGGGTACACACGGTGTCTGAGGTCGTGGTACAGAAGTTTTGCACATGCTGGCCTAAGAAAGCAAGGGCCAGAGGTCTCAGGAGGCAGAGCCTCTGCCAGGACCCTGGGCTCATCCACTGCTCCCAGAATCCCAGAGTGCTGAGGCCTAACTGGAGAGAATCTTTGATGGCATTCCAGTTCCTCCATTGGCTCACCTTAAACAAGTCCCTCAACCCTCTGGACTTAAAAGCCACACAGATATAAGGTCTAATCTCACATCTGGCATGTACCAACTGTTACTCTACCTCTGAACCCCCACAGCACATAAAATATCTTCCCTTCTACTCTTTCCAGATGCTTGAAATTTCACCAATGGATGCCTGGTATCAGTTAATCATACTTTAGTGAGAACTAGTTTGTCAGCTCCTTTCTTCTTTATAGTTAGCTAAAATTTTCCACCTGTGAGTATGAACCCAAGGGAAAGAAGGCAGTCAAGAATATGTTGTTGTTGTTGTTATTTGCCATTGAGTCGGACCCGACTTGAGTTGCTGAGGCAGTATCACTATGGAAGTAGATTGCCCAACCTTCCTTCAGAGGAGTGGCTGGTGGATTTGAACCGCCAGCCTTCTTGTTAGCAGTCAAGTGCCTTAGGCACTATGCTACCAGAGCTCCTAGTCAAGAATATAGTCCCTGGCAATGTACGAAGGATGAGAATATGGGACTCCTGAAGATAAGGAGAGAAGGTAAGGCAGGGGGTGGGAGAACACCGAGGCAAATCTTTAAGGAGTTTATTCTTCTGAGTCCTATTCCCATCCTGCCATGTTAACTGCTCTGCTAAACTACTACCTTCCAAACAGAAAAAAGAAGAGTCACTGGTGGAGTGACATGGGCTTACCCATGTTTCAAGCCAATGGCTCAAAGCCTCAAAACCTCAACTGGCTTCCTGATGCCTACAGAATAAAATTTAAATTCCTTGTCATGGTCCCTGTTTACCCCTCCCTCCTCACCTGCTGCTCCATCTCCTCTTCATTCACTCCAGGCTACACTCCTGGCTTTGCTATTCCTCAAGCCCACCAAACAGGCTCTTACCTCAGGGCCTTTGTACTAGCAATTGTTTCTGCCTGGCCTGCTGTTCCCCCTATATTTCTGAATGGCTTGTTCTAGCCTCCTTCAGGTCTCTGCACAAATGTCACCCCCCTGACCATCCTACATAAAACAGCATGCCCACTCCATCTGTCTCCATCTGCCTTACCCTGCCTTTTCTTCACTACATTTACCACTCTCTCTGATATGACCACACAGCTATTTCATCTATTGGTTTATTTGTCTGTTTCCTCTACTGGCAAGCTCCATGAGGATAGGGATGTTCTCTGCCCTGCTCTCTGCTGTACTTCAGGCACTTAGAACAGTGCCTGACACACAACAGGTGCTTTCTAAATATATGAATGGATGGAGGGATGGCACTGGGATGGGGGGCCAACGTGGCTCTTCCAGCTGGGGCTAGGCCTCAGGTCTGTCATCTGTGAAACAGGTACACATTAATTGATTCAGTCAAATATGTACTGAGCACCTACTATGTGCCAGGTGCTAGGGATTTAGTAGGGGAACAAGACATAGTACCCGTCCTGGAGGAGCACGCAGGAGGTGCGGGTGGCGGGGGAGGCTGGATAGGAAAGTAACCAGGCCATTCTTGCACAGTATGAAAAGAGCTGCAATGGGAGACATGAGGGGCCAGTGGGGGTTCAAAGGAGGCAGTGTGGGACAGGCTACCCAGGGTCACCAAGGCCAAGGGCTAAAGGATGAATGAGCATTAACCAGGTGAAGGGAGTTGAGACAGTGCACTAGGCAGGGGGAACAGTGGGTGCAAAGGGTCAGAAGCAAGAGCAAACCCAAGGCCAGTCCGTGGAACTAGAAGGAGCTCAGTAAGGAGCGAGGGCTCTGCCCTGCCAGCCCACACCTCTACACACACACTCCCTCCAGGGTTCCAGCCCCCAGGGGCCACACGGGCCAAGAAAGCTCTTACCAGGTGGACACATGCTGCAGCACATCTGGACCCTCTTGTCATAGTACTCTCTCGGCTGGCACCTGGTCTCGTCCCCAGGCTCCGGCGCGTAAGGGGGAAGCATAGGCTGGAGAGGGGAGGGAAATACAGCCATCAATGTGGTCAGCCCTGGATCTCATCCTGCAAATGCCAGGATGCCACTGACTGATGATTTCTCCCTGGGAAGGGGGGGTGGGGAGGGAAAAAGGGACAGAGGGAGGGGGCTCCTTCCTGCCTTCTTTCACCTCCTCCTCCCCCTCTCAGTGTAGCTGGCAGGCCGTGCCTGCACGCCGAGCCACTGCTAGGCCTGGGTGAGTACACCAGGAGAGGGGTACAGAAGGCTTTAACCACATCAGGGCAGGCACAGGGCCCTGAATCTGCCCAGCAGGCAGAGTCCCGTCCCAGAGACCCAGGTCCTCAGCGCAAAGCAGCCCTCTGCCTAGAATGTTGCCTCTTCCCTCTTGCACCTGGGCACATTCCCCTTCCTCCTTCAAGCTGAGTGCCACCTCCTCTGGGAAGTCCTCCCTGACTCCCCCAAACTGATATAAGTTCCTCCTCCTCTGGGCTCTCTATGAACACTGAATATGCTCTATTCTGATAGTCATTTCATCGTTCTGAAATAGTGAACATGCTCGTGTCCCCTGTATGAGTTCACATGCACACACATATGTGCATGCACATACACAGGTCTATGATGCTAAGCAGGCAGAGATGGTGGCCTCATCACCTTGGATCCTCAGCCTCCAACACAAGGGCCACTGCGATGGTGCTCAGTAAATAAGTGCTTGTTGATGACAACTGTGAACATTTATTGAGCACTTCCTGGGAGCCAGGCACCATTCTGAGTGTTTCAGCTGCTCCTGTCAGTGGGTGCTGCTAGAGCCCCACTCAGATCCCTCCACTAGCAGGTGTGCCCCACCCCCCAGTTGCTCTTGCTGTTGGCTGATAACAGCTCCCACAACTGCAGGGCAGCCCCCTGGCCTCCAGAAGGGACCCACTCAGGGATACAATGCACTCCGAGAGCCCCCACAGGATCAGGCTGAGGCTGTTCCCAGCAGAGTGTTACCACACCCTTGCTTGGCTCCTCCCCTGCCCTGTCCGGGTTGCACTCACTCACCCCAAGAACGCCCGCCTCAGGCTCTACTTCTAGAAGCCTCAACCTAAGACAGTTATGTGATTTCAGGAAACCCTCCCAATAGCCCAATGAAGAAGGTCACTTTTATGGCCAAACTTCCAGAGTCAGAAAGTAGAAGAGCAGGATTTGCATCCAGGTCTGTCTGACTTCATGGCTCATGATCTCAACCACTGTGCTCTAAGTTTTCATGAATCAACAAATAGAACAATGAATGAAAAGAAAGGAGAGAGAAGACAAGCATGGAAGGTGCAGAACTGAACAGAATGACAGAGTTCTCCTCCCTTGGGTCTCAGACAGACCCTCAGGGAGCACACAGAGCAGCTGGCAGTCACCACTGTGCCTGTTCCAGAATGCCTGGTCATACCCTTGAGACTTGCCCTCCCTCCTTAAAGATGTGGGCTGGAGGGGGCCCTCTGGATGAGCTATGCACTCTGTGAGGTCCTTGGTTAGTACAAACAGCTTGAGCTCACCTACAAACCTAAAGGTTGGAGGTTTGAACTCAGCCAGCAGTGCCACAGAAGAAAGGCCTGACGATCTGCTCCTGTAGAGATTATGGAGCAGTTTTACTCTGTAATACATGGGGCCGCCATGAGTCAGAACTGACTCCATGGCAATAGGATTGATTTTTCAGTTTTTGCACATCTGGGCATGCTCTGAGAGGGTATGCTTATTTGTAGACACACGTGCACATGTACAAGTCTGTACAAGTAAAGCAGAGTGCTTACACACACACTCAGAGTCTCGCAGATACGTCCCCTCGTAATGACTAGAGGGGCAGTTCTGGGAGGGCAGAGTTGCAGACTGAATCTTATTCCATTAAATCCCCGGCTGCAATCACAGTGCCAGGTCCACAGTCAGTATAAGCTCAATAAACCTCTACTGAACAAGTGGTGAGGACACTCCCCAGATGAGGGAAGACTGAGCACAGCCTCTGAAGTCAGAGACCTGACTTCAAATCCTCATTCTACCACTTACCAGCTGTGTGGCTTTCAGCAAGTGTCTTAATCTCTCTGAACTTTAATACCTAATACACAGGAGTTGGGGAGACTTTCAAAATATTTAAAAACCAGCACAATATGGACTGACCAGTCACCCTAGACATCAACTGTAAACAAACCAATCAGAACAGACATCTCCACAATTCCAGGGATGGCTGGGTCAGCCAACGCAAGCAATGCACTGCCGTCAAGTCAGAGCCGACTCATAGCAACCCCACCTTGCAACACACTGCCGTCAGTTTGGAGTTGACTCATAGTGACCCCTCCTTGGGTTTCCAAGGCGGTATCACTACGGAAGTAGATAGCCCAACCTTCCTTCCGGGAAGTGGCTGGTGTGTTTGAACCACCAGCCTTCAGGTTAGCAGTCAAATGACTTAGGCACTACGCCACCAGAGCTCCCCTAGGTCAGCCAGGCCTGGTCAAATTTTGGCCCCACAAAGGAGGTGATTATCCAATATACAAGGTGGGTTTGCTTTGTCCTCCTCTTCCCTCTCCACAGCTCTGTCTGGGAGTCTGGGGCAGGACAGGCTCCTGGCTGGCCCCTACAGGGGCCACCCAACCGCCTGCTCTGGTCAGCTGCATGCAACATGGTATCAGCAGCAGGAACATTCAGGGGAGGTGATCCAGAAGGGCCAGGTGTTCTGCCGCCAGGCAATGTGTGTCTCTCAGAAGCCCCAGACACTTCTGGCCTCATGTCTTTGCCTGAGCTGTCTCCTCCAGCTGGTACAGCCTTCTGCTTCCTCTGACAAATTCCTTTTACCTTTTAAAAACCTTTCTGAGACAGCACCCCCTCTCTGAAGGCTTCCTTGCCCACACCCCACCCTGAGTTCATCCCTTGGACCTGGTGTCTCAGACATTCCTCTGAAGTGGCTCTGAGCAGACAGGCTGACATCATTTTACTCACCACAGCTGCAGCTTGGGGTGGCTTTGTTGTTGCCCCAGGGCCTGCACGTAGCAGGCAATCAGGCTCCATCACAACTATCACTTCCTGCAGGGGTCTGACCCAGCACCAGGCCATGAAGCCCAACATGGATGCACCTCACATGGCCTGCCTCTGAGGCTCCATCACCCATTCCCACCCAGGCCAGGCCAGGCCAGGGCCAGGGCCAGGGCCAAACGTGAGGACAGTCACTTGGGTGAGGTTGGGAGAGATGGAGGTAGCTGGGAAAGGGGAGTGGAGGTCATTTTGCACAGCAGAGTTCAAAACAATGACTTCAACTTCCTTCTGGACTATAAGCTCCCATGTGCATGTGAGTACACACAGGCATGTACACACATGTGCATGCACACACATATACCCACATGCATGGATGTATGCATATACCCATGCACACGTGTGCATATATACACACACAGGCACACATGTACATACCTGCACACTCATGTGCACACACATGCACAAGAGTGCACACACTCACATGCTTAATCCTGGTCTCTCTTCGTTCCCAGGCTGGTCCTGGACCAGGCTGCCAGGCACCCTTGGTAAAGGGCCAAGCAAGGACTTAGGCCCCTCTATCTGGGCTTTCACAGTGTGTGGAGGGGGCACTGTCTATGTCTAAAGCACTTGGGGGTCCATCCCTAATGCAGACACTTACCGACTCAAACCTCAAGGGTGTGCCCAGGAAGCTGTACTGCTAACACATAAAACAGAAGCGAACAAACAAAACCTCCCCCCTAGTGATGACGATGCTCCAAGGCTAGCACTAGGTAGAGCAAGGTGACTGGGAGCGCAAGAGGAGGAGACCCAATAATGAAAACACTGGGGCTGCTCCGAGCTCCGAGCCACCACCTACACAGAGGAGCTGTCCCTTCTACAGCCTCCCCTGCACACACCACTCACTGAACATTAGCTGAGACTGAGGGCCTGACAGCCCCCTAAACCCCTAAAACGGGTCTTCCCTGGAGGCCTCTGCGCTGTAGCCTCCATCAGGCTAGGAGCTTCCCAGGGGAAGGGCTACGCTGTGCCTCCCTGCTGACAGAGCCCCCTCCCAGGCACTGCCTCCTCCCTCAGATAGCATCCTCAACGGCAGGGAGGGGCTGCACCTCCTTCCTTTACAGCCCCCTCCCCTACAGAGTAGTCACACAAGTCTCAACAGAACCCGACACCCTGGGTGGAGCAATGGCACTGCTTCATCCCAGCAGTATTTTAGAGAGTCCTTCACCCAGAAGGACCGTGAAAACCGCAGGGCCAGGACAAGCTCCTGGAGGGGAAAGAAGTCATCGGCCCCCCAGAGGGATCTGGCAGAGCAGAGCACTGGAACGGTCTAGCTGGGGAGAGTATTTCCTGTCAGGGTTCCAAAGGCTTGATGGGAAAGCGTCCAGCTATGGCCAAGTTTGTGCTCTTGCGTCTCCCATGGGCCAAGGGGTCCTGGCCGCCAAAGGCAGGCGGCTGGACCACCAGCACCTCTTCCTCCCCCAGCCTTCCACCCCTCCTTCCAAATACTTTCCCATCTCCAGCTTCCATATGAACCACCTTCCCTCCACTTCCTCCTGCTGCTACACCACATGGCTCCAGGCCCAGTGGCTGGTGGAGGGGTCAGCCCTGCCTTGAGTAATCTTTAGGCCTGTTTATCTTCTTGGACAGGAAAAAAACCCGCAGCCCTGTCATGGCTAAACAATGAGGAACAGAAAGCCCCTCACAGAGCAAGGACAAAAGGTCACTTCCTCCAGTGTGAGGCTCCCAAGAGCAGGAGCTGAGCCCAAACCACAGCCTTGGGAGCTAGGCACAGGTTACCACAGGGTCCACACAGGTGAGCTGCCTCTGGGAAGCATCGGCCATAGAAGCCTCCAGGGCGTTCGCTTTGAGTTGAGGAGGCTTGGACTCCCACCCTACTCCCACCCCAAAAAAGGATCTCTGATCAGCTGTTTAAAATGAGGAAGTAAACCGAATAGCACTGGATTCACTCAGCATGTTTAGCCAAGCCAATCTTTCAAAACATGTGGTCCCAAGATGAG